GTCCCGCTTTTACTCAGTTCCCTTCCCCTCCTGGACGGTGGGGTGGGTGTATCACCTCAAACCTGCTGCTGCAGCCTCAAAAATACCCCTAAATCCTGACTCCTCTCCCACCGTCTCTTCCAGTCTCCTTCCACCGCAACAGCACCGTCACCCTGAGGCCGCGGGTGGATGGGCAGCAGGCACAGGGTGGGGACAACGACTACGCTCAGCCACCTCAGAAGAGCTCCTACCTCTTGGCTTACCCAGGTAAGGCAGTGGAGGACACCAGGAACGGCTTCTCCAAGCTCTCTTCCCGCACGCTCCGGTGGGGATGAACCGCCCCAGGGAGACCATGGTGGCAAGGCTTTTGCCAACACTGGGCAAGGGGCTGTGCTGGGGCTGGAGTGCACCCCCAGCCACCGTAATGAGTCGCATCCGTTCCCCTGCAGCCCTGCAAGGTGCGTGCAGAGCTTCCAACCCTCCGGACAATTCTTCCGACAGCGACTACGACCTGAACTCTGCCCGCAGAGTGTGATCCCCACACCCCTCACCAGAGCTGGGACCCCCCTTGAGCTGCCCTTGTCCCCAGCTGAGCCATTCCCCCACCACTGCCCGTCACCCAGCGCTGTCCCAGGGTGGTCATGCACGTGGCAGCAAAGCTGTACAACTGCTGAATTAGCGGCTTTTCTCGCATTTTTTGGCAAGCCACTCTTGTTTCCGTCGTAAGCCACCTTCCTGCCCTGCAGGCAGAGGTGGGATGTAGTGCAAGAAAGATAAATTTTGAGCAACCCGACCGAGCGAAAGATGCCCCTGCCCATGGCAGGAGGTTGAACAAGACAATCTTTGAAGGTCTTTTCCGAACCAAACCTTTCCGTGATTCTGCGCAATGACGAACTGAACGAAGCTGACAGGAGAGATGACAAATACCTGCGCTGCTCGTCTCAGAAGAAAGCCTGTCCACATCCCCCCAGGCGCGATGGGAGACCTTCGAGGCTGTGTACCCCGAACTCCTGTCAGACTCGGAGCCAAACCCGCTCGTGCTTCTCCATACCCTCTCATACCAGGCACACGTGGCTCAGCTCTAATTCAGCCTAACTCAGCTTCAGCTGCGCCCCAGCACCCGAGCACCATTCCAAGAAACCTTCCTCTTGCTTTTGAGCCTCCTTTGTGGGAAAGCACGAGGTGAGGGGTGGTTTTTCTACTTTTTTTAAGCTATTTCTATGAGTCTACAGGGCAGCTGGATCGCAGCACACTTCATACCCGCTCCGAGAGCAGAGCAGCCATGCTCACGGCCATTCACAAGGGGATTGCCGGCTTCTCTGCCTCTCAAAACTGGGATAACCACGCTTCTCCTCCCACCCAGGCTGGGCTGAAAGCGAAATCGGCTGCTGTCTGCCAGGCGCTCTGATAGTGGGGTGCTGAGCCTCGCCAGAAAGACTGTGAGACCCGCGTCTGCCGGGTTCCCGGGGGAAGCTGCGAAGACACGCGCTTGGCTGCGTTTGCGTGGGATGGCACGAGATCTGGGCTGATGTACCAAGCAAAGCGCAGAGCCGGGGAGGGTAGAAATATTGGAGAACAAGTCTTGAGTTATTTAATAAGCAATAACTGTTGTAATAAAATTGTTTTTTTTTTTTCTAGTAATTACACCTTGTTCTCTTCCTTCCACCACCACCAGTGCCATTCCTTAGACCATCAACCTCTCAGCCAGGGACTGAAAATGCACGATGGTGCCAGAGGAGGGGAGAGCTGGGCTGATGCTGAAGAGCCCCACGCAAACGGGCCCCTTAGGAAAGATGAAAACAAGAGAGCAGGAAAGATGAGTTGGAAGAAAATGGTCCTGCGAGAGGGCAAAGGGTTTTATTGACAAAATCAAGAGGAAGTTGGTGTAAAGACGCCAGGAGGGCATAAAAAGATCAATAGAAAGTGTCAGCTGGATGCCCTGTCATTTCCGAAAGCAACCACTGCTGTGACCCCACATGCAACTCATCAAGTTTTATTACTGTAATTAACCACAGATACAGAACTGTTTCCATCAAACCCCACAAGCATTTGCCTTGTTCTAGTCCATTAGTAATCTTTCCTTATAAATAACTCACAGGGATACAGGCAGGATTCGTAGGATAAAGTGCTGAGCAAAGCAAATCCCATTTCCATTAACATTAACTCGTCATTCCCTCCGTTACCTAGTGTTTCCTGAGAAGGGGGACGTGAGGAAGGCTGGAGCCCGTAAGCACCCCAAATAACTGTCCCATTCTCCCGAGCACTGTGGGAGAGGCTGGGGATACAGGAGGCTCCTGAGCCTCAGTGTTTCACAGAGCTGGGCAGAAGGCACCGACTCCCACTCCTCCCTGTGCCTGGAGGCACGTGCCCCTAAAGCAGCAGCGGCCCGAGATATCGTGCCAGCCCAGTTTACTTCAAAAACACAAATAATATCCACATGTTGAGCTCTGGGGGCCGTACCAGAGCCTTAGTGCCCTCGGTGAGACAGTGCACAGCTGGCACAGGCCGGGAAAGGCTCCTGTGCCGGACAGAAGCAGCAGCGGTAAAGAGGTGTTTTGCTCCACGGTGAGTTGGGAGCTCCTGAACCCGATGGAACAGGGAATAGCCTCTGCTTTGGAGCACACCGGTACTCACCACGCCAGCGGAGGCGTGACCTCACAGCCGGCTGGGAAGAGCTTGAGTAGAGCTGGTGTGGAAGTTATCCTGCACCAGCATAAAAAGACGGAGAGATCTCAAGGCCTGGCCCACCCAAGGGGCGAGCTCGCTGCTTCTCCCTGCTGTCATCAGTTACAAATCATCTACAAGCCAGGCTGGCTCTGCCTCTCACTTCCAGGAAGGTCCTTGGAAAGCAGTGAGTATTTTGTGTCAGAAATACTGTCAGAGATTCCCATCGTGTCCTTTGAACACCTGTAAAAAGGCTTAGAATTACGGATATTACATCTGTTACTCACATAGCAAACGACAGGCACACACACGCACACACGGAGCAGTCTCTCCCGCTCACCCACGCACACGCTCGCACACACACACAGATGAGGGCATCCGGCTTCTTGGCGGCTGCAATCAGTGTACATCATTCCTGCGTATCCCAACTGAGTACCTAAGTGACTACCCGGCTTTCACACCAGAGCCTGGAGGAGCCGATTTGGAAGTGAACGCTTCAACCCACCAGCGATCGTCATAAACCGAATCTGAACCGGTGCAGCCTGCGGGGACAGCGTCAGCCTGCCCGACCCCCGGAGCCGCTACTGTCTCTCATCCTGCATAATGCTTTCGCACCCGTGGGTCGAAGAGCAATGCTCTTGGCTTACTCTTCTTCCTCAGTCCACAAAAAGAGGAGGGAGCAGCAAAGGACGCTCCCCAGGAGTCTCGATTTAGTAGCCAGGCCAAGCAGGGCGAGGAGGGTTTGGAGGTGGGGGGTACCCAAAGGGTGGGGGTGGTCCAGGAGGATAGGGAGACTGCGAGGGGATTGGGAAACTAGGGAGAGGGGGCTGGGTTGGGTAGGGGCACTGCGGTCTCCCTGCCCCAGGGGGGAAGTAGGGAGGGTACCCGGGTCTGGGTGGCGGAGGAGAGGCATGAGAGCCAGGAAACGGTGGGGGCTGAGGTGGACCCCTGGACGGAGACCAGGAGTAGCCTGACACCGAAGACGAGCCTCCCAAGGGGGGTTTGGGATACCCCTGCGTGGAGTCAGCAGCCTGCACTGGCGGGTATCCCGGACCCGGAGGAGGTGTATAAGGAAATGAGGGCTGGGTGCTCGGCTGAGAGGAAGCGACGTTTCCCACGGTGACCGGGGAGCCAGAGAAAGGAGCAGGAGGGAGAGCTCCATGGGCTGTGGGGCCAACTGGCATGCTCGGGGCTGGGCTGTAGGGCAAAGGGAAGGAAGGAGCCCCTGCAGGGAAGGGCTGTGGCTTCGGCGGGTCTGCGGGCCCAGGTACACGAGGAGGCAGCTGCTGCTGAGAGTCCCTGCCGGGCTCCTGCGACGCTTCCGACTTCCTCAGTATCTCCTGCAGCTTTTCAACTCTGACCCGGCGCAAGTGTGACAACTTCCTCATCACGGAAAACTGCTCGAGAAATGTCTCCAGGGGCACCTCGCCCTCCAGGAACTTCTCGGCCATTTTCTGGAAGAGAAGACAGCCTCAGGTTCAGCACTGCATCCCTCTACTCTTCTTCCCCAAGCCCAGCTTAGGATTCACGTCCCTCTCAGAGACACACAGAGGACCATCGCACCATACACAAGCAAGCAAAGGGCAATCCAATTTTTTGGAGCAAGAACGCCAAACTACAAAGAGATAATCCTTGACTTAAGGGATTAGGCTTGGGAGTGTAACTGCAAGTCTTTGAGGACTAATCACTTGAATGGCTAATGGATTTAAACCCTCAGCTCACCTCAGACTCCTCTTCGATTTTCTGGCTTTCCACCTGCAGGAGATCCAGCAAGGTCTGAGGGTGCATTGCTGCTGAAAATTTCTCTGGGGAAACAAAGAGAGCAGCAGCACAAAACATTAGTTAAATACAAAACAGGGAAATATCCTTAGCACACAGCCATGTTGCAGGCTCACAGGAGTGCCTCTTCCTGCCTTGAAAACTGTTGAGGCAAAGCTAAAATCCAAAGAGGAAAGAACTTTAGCCACTGATGCACTAGAAGGGTTTTTTTGCTAGGGTGGTATCCTTGATCTGTCCAACTGAGTTTGACCAGGAAACAGAAGAATATAGACTTTATAGGCAGCCGAGTCCTTTCTGCCACCACCCAGAAGAGTTTCTCTGCTCAGTATGGCCAAGGTAGGCAGACGCAAAAGGGAAGGATGTTGCACTAACTACAGCCCACGCGACTCCATCGGAAAGCGTGCAAGGTTTGCAAACGCTCACCCAGTTTTGCCTTTTGCTCTTTACACCGCTCAGCCAGCTTCTGCAGCTCTTCGTATTTGTTAGAGAGGTCGGTGCGCCCCGTCTCCAGCGGCGCCTGGAACTTCAGGTTCTGCTCGGCCAAGCTCCGGTTGGCAGCCAGTGCCATCTCCCTTTCCAGCTGCAGCTCCTGAACCTGCAGAAGGAGACGTGACAGTCACTGTGGGCGAGGAGCTAATGAAGCCCAGCCCGCTCCTTGCCAGCGTCACGCTGTCCTCACATACCTCCTGGGACTCCAGGGCCAGGCGCTCGATCTCCTCTGCATTTTCCTGCAGCTCCTGGAGCTCCTCCACTGTCCGGTTCCTCAGGGTGTCCATCCTCTCAGGGGAGCTGCAGACTCCTAGGACGGGGAAAGGAAGTCAAATAGAGAAGAGGTTTTCTAAAGCCAGCTCCAAATAGGTACTAATCCTATCAGGGATTTAAAACCAGCTTTGCTAAACTGCTTGAAACAGCTACGCCAGCGAGGCTCCCCTGTGCTATAAAGAATCAGTGAGTCTGAGGGCAGAGCGAGTCAGAACACATCGACTCATTCCTGCTTTGGCAACTGGCTTGTTTCCTCTTCACAGCGTATTTGGAAGGATTACTTGTGTGTGTCAGATCACTTTGTCAAGAAAACATCTACTCACAGCTGTCTGGAACGGGATGGCACAGCGAGAGCCAGCGTGATTTCGCCCTGACTCTCAAACTCCAGCTGGCTCTTGCTGCACCGTCCTGTTCCAGATTCCTGTTCTGCCGAGCAAACCTCACAGATCTGCTTGCGTCTTGACTGTGCCCACGGCCCACAGCCACTGGTGGGGCCGCCACCACCACCCGTGTCTTCCCGTACCTCACCACCTCCCCAGTCCCTTGGCTCCCATCTCATTTGATGCGTTGTCTTTCTGTGTGTTTTCCTTCCTAGCTGTGTAGTGCCATCACTTCCCTCACTTATTGCTGCTACGTTTAGAAAACATTAAGTGATGGCATTACGCGTATGCGGTGACCTCAATCCAATACCTGTGATTTTCAAAATCAGTGAAATATCACTAAAATCAGAGAAATAACGATTTTCTGCACCATGTCCATGACTTACTCTAAATAATCCGGACCGACTGATAATATTTAGCAAATATCAGATGTTCACATCACAGGCTCTAAGAGGTGGGATGCAAGAATGTGGGAATGCACTAAAAACCAGATGAGAAACACGGGGGCTGTGCACTCCCACTGAGAGGGAAAGGGACATACCAAAAAACCGACGGGGATTTCAGTGTTGTTCTAATTGCTGGCGGCTCTTCTACTTTTCATCTGGGTGAAACATCCCAACGATATCGCTCCTGAAACGTTGCATCAGCCTCTGCATGTAACACAGAATGACAAGGTAAGGCTCAGAGTTACCACATCTCTTCACCCAGGATCCAGCTAAACCCGTCTGAGAAATAACCACCTAAAAGGTGGGAAATTAGCTCCCTCACTACATATACATTCACGTAACTTAATCACTCTGCAAACAGAAATAAACTTATGGGGATTTTTTTTTTGTTGTTATTAATAAGGCTCACAGAGCATAAGAGGGAAAAATTAGGACTAGTGGCAAAGGGAAAGCTCAATCCTCGCTGCCGTGCAGGCGCAGAGGTCACAAATGGCCCATGGAAAGTGTCCAAATGGTCCCCAGGAGGGTGGGCATAGAGCTGGGCACTACCCTGGCACCGGCCACTGCCAGCACAGGGTAGGGGCTCTGGTCTCATGGATCTTGGCGCTTTTTAGCAGCATTCCGTTAAGACGCAGCCGGCGAGGCAACACTTTGCCTCTGTGAGGAAAAAAACCGCATGAGCCCCCGTGGCTCGGAGCGGCTCGGGGCTGCTCGCAGGACTGCCACAGCCCGGTCACCGCCTCGGTGC